CTTGAGCAAGAATGCATGCACGTTGGGTAACTTTATTTTGGTGCTTTTGCATTCATGTGCATCACAGCACAATTCAGGTACTTTGTAGAACGACGTCGTTGGGTAACTTATTTTGGTGCTTTTCATTATGTCATCAAGCACAAATCAGGTACTTGTAACACGGTTGCAGATGCTTTGAGCAGGAGAGCAGCTTTGTTGATCACAATTAAGCAAGAGATTGTGGGGTTTGAATTTCTTAAAGTTCTCTACATCTTAGATGAAGACTGTGCTGACATATGGGCTAAGATTGAAGCTAAACAGCCTACCAAAGGTTTCTTAATTCATGACGGGTACCTTTTCAAAGAAAATAGGCTATGCATCCCTTGGTCTTCCCTCAGGGAGAAATTAATCCAAGAAGTCCATTGTGGAGGATTGAGTGGACACCTGGGCCGTGATAAAACTATTGCGGGTTTGGAGGCTCGTTTCTATTGGCCACAATTGAAGAAGGAAGCAGGAAAGCTAGTACAAAAATGTTCCGTTTGCTAGACACAAAAGGGCCATTCTCAAAACACTGGTCTTTACACTCCATTGATTGTACTGGAACAACCTTAGGAGCACTTATCCATGGATTTTGTGTTGGGTTTACCTCGAACTCAACAGGGGACTGATTCTATTTTTGTTGTTGTTGACAGATTCTCTAAGATGGCACATTTTATTCCTTGCAGGCAAACTAATGATGCCTCCCACATAGCAGAGTTATTCTTCCAGGAGATTGTTCGGTTACATGGCATTCCTAAAACCATCACATTTAATCCAGACACAAAGTTTTTAGCTCACTTTTGGACAACTTTGTGGAAAAGATTCAACACTCAACTTCACTACAACAAAATCGCTCACCCCTAAACTGATGGTCAAACTGAAATGGTGAATCGGACTCTTGGTAATCTCCTTAGGTGCATTTGCAGTGAAAAGAAGAAGATGTGGGATCTTACTCTTGCCCAAGCAGAATTTGCTTACAACATCTGCAGTGATTAAGAAAGACAGAAGAATGTGGATCGTCTTAACCTCTTGGCCCAATGAGAACTTTTGCTTGACACAAGACAGTCGACCTCAATCCTTATTAAGCTCCCTCAAATGATGTCACCTTTTGCAATTAGTCTTAACTCGGAAGATTCGTACCGAGCATCAATTAACTCTTGACCTTTCCTTTTTCCCGTTGCCAACCAGGTCGTTCAAGAGAAGGAGTATCCGCAGCTTAATGCTTGGACTATCTACCAAAGGCCTTGATAGACAGGTGTTTAAGCACAGTGACCATTCAATTCCACTCAATGCTGGCCAAACACCACGAATAAAGTCATAAGACTGCAGCCCTGATGAATGGCATCACAACGTATACACTATGCTTTTCTGAGGTGATCTGGCTCGTACGTGGTTTCTTTCAACAAATGAGCGTGGCGGAGCGAGTAGAAGCAAGAAACCTCTAGATTCACAAACAGAGAAATATGGCCTTTTGCAATTGTCTACCGGAAGGTACCAGCATATACTCTTGACCTCCTTTCCCTTCCAACAGGTGTAGAGAAGAGTATTGCAGCTAATAACTTGGTTACCAAGCTTGTAGAGGTGTTTAAGCAAGTGCATCAATTCATCACTGCTGCCAACGAAAAATATAAGACTGCAGCTGATAAAGACCAACGTTATAAATCTTTTACTGAGGGTGATTGGGTCATGGTTTATCTTCACAAAGAGCGTGGCGGAGGATAGAAGAAACTTGATTCAAAAAAGATTGGGCCATTTTAGATACTTAAGAAGATTAATGATAATGCATATGTGCTTGACCTACCCGAAGACATGAAGATTTCCAAGACCTTCAATGTTGCTGACTTACTCCGTTTCTACCCTGATGATGATCACTCAAAGTCGAGTTCTTTTGAAGTGGAGGGGATTGATGCGGAGCAACTGGCACTTAAATATATGAAAGATTTGGATCGCTGCAAATCCAAGAAGAAGGAGCACGGCCGTGTTATCTCCAGCACGCCCGTGCCAGACTCTGGAAGTCCAGGACGTGAGACACACACCCAAGACCAAGAAACATAGGCACACCCATGCCACAACTAGCCCGCCCGTGCTAGCCTTTGAACATCCTAGCCCGCTTGTGTCATCGCAAGCATGGCCGTGCTAACGGGACTATGAAGAATCAAGTTTCGGCACGCCCATGACATGCCAAGTACACCCCGTGCTAGCCCCTGAGAATCTACGACACGCCTGTGCCAGGTTCCGCATGCCCGTGCCGCCACCTTCACTAGGGTTTAGTTTATTTACGAATTTTGTGCTATTTTTAGGGTTTTATAACTTTTAACCTAAACCTATAAATAGGTTATTTTGTATTATTGGCAGGGCTGATTACCTTTGATTATTATTCATATCAATAAATTTCTTAAGAGTTTTAAATCTCTATTTTATTCTTCAGATCATACGTTATTGATCAAAACTCTTAACGGAGTATAATCGTTATTCCCATTTACGTAACCGTTCTGCGTCATCAACCTTAGATAAATCACTATTTTCAGCCTTCTAATCCAACTTTGTTATAATATTTCGATATTTAGTGATATCGTTTGGTATGAATCCAAATATATGTTTATTCCACCTCTTCAGAGATACTTTTAACTTGCATAATTTAGTTTGAAGAATGAAACCACCATAACCTGCTATTGATTCTTGAGACTAGCAATCACTAATGTAGTTAAGCAATTCAGTTTGTTTGTCTAGATTTTTGTGTCATTTACAACATTAATTCTTCTAATTTATAAGGATCCTAAGAGTACCCTCCAAGCAAGGTACATTTTCTAGAAAATATAAACAAAAATCTATTGACACCCTAAATATATACAATATTTACAATTAATGGGTTTTAGGCTGATTGGCCCTTTTAGTAATGTTCTAACTATATTGATCTTTTTCAAGCTTTGCCAATTCGAGCCACCGTCAACAAGTATCAATACTACTAAACTCATCATGAGGCATAGCCAATCATTACATTATTGCCAACATGAAAGATTTTTTAAATTTTCACCAAAATTTGATGTCGCTATTAACTGGAGAAGTATTGGAAAAAGTGATGGTATAGTTAAAAAGACTATTCAAGGGTGCTTATATTTGGTGTGGTGAAGCTTCTAATGGAGATGCAACTTAAGGATATAAAAGCCGACAGGATCACCGAATACGGTGTTTTAGCCCGTTTGTGGCCAAAATTGCCTATTAGCCTTTGATTAATAAGTTTTTTATATGACAAGAGATACAATCATAGCATCATATTATTAATGAAACAATGTGTTTTTTCAAACTCAAATGATACGTTTAAATTGATATAACTATATTACATTAAGTTTAATCTGTGGTCCGAGAGGCTTACTAAAAATTCTCTTACATTTGCATAAACATAAACTTGATTTTTTTTAGCACTTAACTTTTATGTTCTGTTTGGTATAAATGAACTTAAAATGTGGAATTCATTTATAAATGAATTCTAAATAGAATTAATGTACATGAATTTTGCATGTTTGAAATAAATTCAAAATTGAAAATTCATTTATTTTTATTTCTAAAAATATTAGTGGCATAAAAAAAATTTAGAAGTCTAAAAGGATGGATAGCTTTATCACAAAGATTGAGTTATTTACGTTTGTGGAATTCATTTGGAAATTTCACATTTTCATAGAATTTGATTTAGTTATATTTAAATCTATAAAATTGAATTACCTTCGTTATTTTCATCTCAAACATAATAATTTAGATTTATAAATGAATTTCACAAAATTTCAAGGAATGCATTTATTCCAAATAAGGGATTCGTGATTTCATTGTATTGTTTTTTTTTTTTTTTTTTAGGTATCGTGATTTTTCCATTGTATTGTTTTTTTTTTTTTTTTTTTTTTTTTTCCTGAAAGAAACAATTTCCATAAACTTAAAATAAATATTGTATTTTTTTTTTTTTCTAAAAGAAAGAATTTCCATAAACGTAAAATAAATATTTTTTATCTATTTTTTATCGAGTTCATATAATGTAATATAATTAAAGTATGAGTAACTGTTAAAATAAACACATGATCATATATCATACATGATATTTAAAGTTGGATGGATCAAATACCTATCTCTTGTAGCACAGGAGATGAATAACCTTTAGCATTGTGTTACCAGTTTGCTAACCATAGAAGCAATCACGAATTGATGGACTGCTCTTGATGTCCACAGTCTAAAAGCTCTTCTGTCTTCACGATGTGACTGAGAGAACAGTCAGATTTTTTAGTCTTTTTTTTTTTTTTTTTTTTTTTTTTTTTTTTTTTTTTTTTTTTTTTTTTTTTTTTTTTTTTTTTTTTTTTTTTTTTTTTTTTTTTTTTTTTTTTTTTTTTTTTTTTTTTTTTCTATCCTTTTGTGATACTGATAGTAGAGAACTTATTCTCCTCCTTTTTCATTTTAGTTAGATTATCACAGGCATTTTAGTTAGATTATCACATGTTGGAGTAATCCTACTAAAACTCAAACTCTCTAAAATTGTAATCAACTAGGATTATATTTAAACTTATTAAATACTAATAATAATAATTAGACATATTAATTATTATTATTTGTTATTAATGGATCCGAGTTAAAAGACTAGTCATGGGCGTATCTATACCGTCATTAATTCGAACAGTATCCATTCACAAAGGGATCATTCTGAGATCATCATTTCATGTCTATTCAAAATGAATAAAATCAGTAAGTTCTATTTTTGCAATTGAAGATACTATTATCATAAAAGATCAAAATTGGGATAAAAATTGATAAAAAGATTAAAATAGGACGAAATTACAAAAGCCCATAAAATTTAGACATTTAAATATACAAATTATATTAAATTTATTATTTATTCTTCACATGTTGACCCTAAAAAAATTTCAAAAGTGGCCCCTAATTCAATTTACTATCCAAATCTCACGAGACACAAACCATATATAAGATATTTGTATATATTAGGCTTCTTTTGTCCTCTGTGTATCCAATCCAACCAACTCTCCTCTCTTTGTTTCTTTCTCTCTCTGTGTGAAAATGGGTGGTTTCGCCATTGGGGCAAAACTAATGGTGTTGGTGGTGCTTTCTTTAGTGCAGCATATCAATGGAAAGCAAATCTCAAAGGGGAATGGAATAGGGAGTAGAGGATGTGATATTTTTGAAGGGAGTTGGGTTCTTGATGATTCTTATCCTCTCTATTCTTCCTCCCAATGTCCTTTCATTGAAAAACAGTTTGATTGTCTTAAAAATGGTAGACCAGACACTCACTTTCTCAGCTACAGATGGAACCCTTCTCATTGCACCATTCCAAGGTACATCACTACATATATATCTATATTGTTTTTTTATTTTTATTAATTTCATACTGATATTGCTTTATTTTTCTTTCTTAATAATGATATTTGCAATTTCTTAGAAAATATATATTTTTTATAAATTTCTTAATACAGCAAAATTTTCATTTGCTGTGTTCATGATTTTGTTTTGAGGTTTTGTTGGCCATTTTATTAGTTCACGTGAAAGAGACAACACTGTCCAAATTGAGACAAACTTTAATTATGGGAAAGAACAACTTTGTTGTAAAGCTATTTTGTTTCTTTATTATTGGGGAATGAAAAAAAAAATTGTGTTTCATACTTTTCTTTAATTTTTAATATCGCTAAGTATGTAAAATACGTGGATTAATCCCAAATAGAAAATATATAAAAGGAATAAATAACATATAATAAGTAAAGCAAATCGGTCAAAATGGCTTAAGTTACAATTAATTTATTATTAGATTTTCTATATAATTAATTAAAATTTATAATAAAAAAAAACAAGCTGACACAGTCAGTCAAATTAGTGTTTTCTCAACTATAAATAACAAGAATGTTAAAAAAAGGGGGGCTGGCTCTAAAATTTTTGTTACTGAGAATAATTATTATAAGTTGAGTGTAGCATGAGAAATATACAATTATTGATTATTAGTTTTGTGGGATCCTTAAATTTTGAAAGTTAAGCTGTCAATTCTGTGAGTGGTTTTGGTTACTTTTGGTGATGACACAGAATTTCAATCAATTATTACTAATGGAAACAATTTCTTCTAGTTGACTTTTGTAATTACTACTTAACATTTTGAATTATTATTATTATTATTATTCTGGCCCCTTAAAGAGTACATACAGTTTGCTTCAATTGGATAAAGCAAGACTTTTATCAACAATGCTTTTAAAATATTTTCCTTTTCCTTTCACGTAATTATACATTTACTAGTAGTAATGGCCACGGTTCCGGAACCGCCGGTTTCAGTTTTGGAACCGAAGGGGTACGGTTTAAAATGGAACGGTTCCGGTTCCTCAACGGTTCCAAAATGAATGGTTCCGATCGATTCTCCGGCCAATTTTTTGGCTGATTTCATTCGATTCTGGCCGATTTCAGACCGGTTCTAGCCAATTTCAGATGGTTCCGGCCGGTTTCAGGCGGAATTAGAACCATTGGTTCCGACTGAAACTGGAACCACCGGTTCATGGTTCCAAAACTGGTAGAACTGAAACCGAACCGATTTGGACGGTTTCGGTTCAAACCTATTTCGGTTCCCACCGGTTCGGAACTGATGGTTCTGGTTCCAAAAACCGGATTTTGGCCACCCCTATTTACTAGTCATGATGTCCCATTTCGCGTGCGAATATTTATAAATTGTTTGAATTATTTTTTATTATATTATTATTAGGAAAAGTTTTTTATTTGTAGCTTTATATTAAAATTTAATTTGAAGTGTTTTTGATAAAATGGTACGAATAATAATAATTAAATTTACCTTTTCTCATAAAAAATTAATTATTTTCAATTTTATAAGCATAGAATATTAGTTTAGGCTTTTGTTTTGTCATTTTTTAAGTATGAAATTTAGTTAGGGTTTATTGAAATTATACTTAAGTTAGATTTTTTATAAAAATATGTTTTATTCATTATGACATAATTTTATTTTTAGAAAATCATTACTTGTTATCAATATTATATAAATAAATAAATAATATTTTATTTTTAAGATGAATATGTTATCAATATTATATAAATAAATAATATAAATATTTTATTTTTAAGATGAATATAATTATATATAAATAAATAAATAATATTTTATTTTTAAGATGAATATATTATTTTTTTATTTTAATATTGGGTGCATTTTGAAAATAATGTTTATTCATTAAATTGTACCCAATTTAATATTTTATTCACTAAATTGGGTACAATTTGAAATTAGAATATTGTAAGTAAAGTTGAAGTTTAGTGTACAATTAGAACTATCCGTAAAGTTTTGAGATTTTTTTTAATGATTTAGCCGGCTTCTTTTGAGATTTTTTTTTAATGATTTAGCCTGCTTCTTTAAGTTCTTTTGAAGAAAAATTGAGAACCATGAGCTCAATTAGATTCTTTCAACTCCTATGTATACAGATAAAGCTTGATTTCATTTTCCCTTTAGTAATAATATGATAGTAAGAGTTACTTTTCACAATTTGTATTAAATCCACTTCTCTTCTCGGATGTTATGTATATTGGGATTAAAGAATTCATAAAAATAAAAATACTATCTTTAAATGTAGACCAAAAGTGTCCAACTATAGTAAAAGTATAAAGCGTAAATTTGCTTACCGATTTAATAAATATTAAGGTTGTTGTTTTCAATTTTCAAAACATATATTTTATTAAAATATAATCAATTATCCCAAGATCTTAAATAAAATTATGGTGTCAAACTCAATTATATTTTGAAAATGCAGATGGGTTCTCCCTGCCCTCATTCACAAACACTCCACATATATTTTGAAAATGATTTGTTGTTTAGTTCCTTTCATCCATTCTGTCTACACCCTGGCGACGGTGACCGCGACGATGACGATATTAATGATGATATTGACGACTACATAATAATTTACTTTAATTTATTGAAGAGGTAAAAGCTTTTACAGTTGAGAGAACTTGAAAACCAACCTAACAACACCTGATCGTTATAATAATAATTATTTTATAATTTTACCAAAATAAATTTGAAATGCTTTTCCATCAAATTGAGAGAATTAAAGTTTTAACTATTTATTTGTGCTAATTGTGTAGGTTTGACGGTAGAGATTTTTTATCGAAACTGAAAGGGAAAAGCATAATGTTTGTAGGAGATTCATTGAGTTTAAACCAATGGCAATCGCTCACATGTTTGCTTCATGTGGCTGTTCCTCAGGCTAACTATACGTCCGTCAGAATTGGAGGGCTCTCTAATTTCACTTTTCCGGTGATTATCTAATTGCCTTTCTATTTAATTACTTTGGATTTCAATCATCTTATATCTATAATCTATTTATCTATTATATGTACTATTACTATATAATATATATAAAAGCTAAAAATTTAATTGCTGATGTAGAATTATTAGTTCTTTTATATATTCTTAATCAATTTTCTAATTTGATTACTTATTAAGTTTCTTTTTTTTTTTAAATTAATAATCCCAATAATAAATTTATTATTAGAAAAATTCGTTCATTTTTTTCAATAATTTATAAACCCAACAATAAATTTATTATAATTCATCATGAACTCAATTATACTTTCTTTATCTTTCACTTCACAACAATATGTAATTCCTCTGCTCTATTTATTTTTTTTTTTTCTCCACTCCCTCGTTTGCATATAATAAATCTAGTAGGTTTTATTATTAAAGCATATATTCCATGTCTATTAAACATTTAAGACTAGCTCCCTTATATTTTAGGTTATCGTCTAGTTTACATTGACTTACTTTCCAGGACATATAGTTCCAAGTAGGGGTGGCTATGGCTCTAGAACCGTTGGTTTCGGTTACAAAAAATTTAGAACCGGAACCGAACGATTACGATTCCGATTACGGTTTGAAACTGAACGGTTACAATTTTGGTTTTTTAACGGTTCCGAAATTAACGGTTCTTACCGGTTCTCCAATTGATTTTCTGGCGAATCGCATGATTATAAAATCAAAAACTAGGGAACATTTCTTGAAAATTTAAAATGTAAATATTTATGAAATAATTTTTAGAAAAAACTTAAATAAAAAATTTTTAAAAAAGGCTTAACTTAATTTATTTATTTTAAAAAAAGCTTGAACCTTTTTTTTTTTAGAAAAAGGACTTGAACTTAATTTATTTTTTTAGAAAAAGGCTTGAACTTTTTTAAAAAAAAAATGAAAAGGGGTATTTATAGTAAATCAAAAAAATCAATTTTCCACATATGTCCTTAAAATTAGCCGTTATATAGTTGTTAGGAAAGTTAATTTGAAAATTTCACAAAAATATTTGAAAAAGGAAAAAAAAAATTATTGGAACTAGGAGAACTGCCGATTTCAGTTGGTTCTTGAAACCGTCGATTGACAATTCCTCAAAAGTTGAAACCGAAATCAAATCACAGACCCCTAATTCTGGTTTCAATTCCCACCGATTCCGGTTTCAAAAACAGTGAAATGGCCACCCCTAATTCCAAGTAACTTACTGAGAAGTATAAAGTATTTGTATTTGGTTGATTCTTAAATTCAAAGTAAAAATATGTGAATAAAATTTGATATTAGAAATAACATGGATGCTTATACAAAATATAAATAAATAAATAAATAAATATATAAATAGAAATAACATGGATGCTTATATCAAAATATAAATAAATAAATAAATAAATATATAAATATATTATTATATATATATATTAATATATAATATATATATATATATATATATATATCATATATAATATATATAATATATATATAAGTTATATATATAAGTATAAGAATCGAACTATTCCATTGATAAAAATCTAATATCCATTAATTAATTCAATGGAGCATATTTTATACAATCCACTAATCAAGTCATATAATAATCAACATACTATTTATTATCGCATAATAATCAAAAGAAAAGAAAAGAAAAGAAAAGAAAAAAGAAAAAGCTGCAATTTTATTCTCAGGTATCTTCTTGTATAAATTCAAGCATTTAAAGTAAAAATCATATATTTTGCTGAAATGAAGAGTGCAATTGCAGGAATTTGATGTGAAAGTGATGTTCTCTCGCAATGCATTTTTAGTTGACATTGTAACCACAAGCAATGGTACTGCTATTCTCAAACTTGACTCCATTGAAGGTGGAAAATTATGGAAAGAGATGGATGTGGTGATCTTCGATACTTGGCATTGGTGGCTTCATTCAGGAAAAAAGCAACCGTGAGTGACAAGGGTTGGACTTACAATCCAACACAATTCTAATTGAATCGAATTAATACAGATTGAATAAATTGAATTTCTATATAAAAAAGATCAAATTTAATCGATTTTTTTATAAAACTGAACCAAGCTGAATTAATTGATTTCAATTTTTTTTAACTTACTTTTTAGATTGAATTAGTTTAATTTTTAGATACTTTCTAAGTATTATTTACTAAATCACTTTTTTCCACATTGTCGTAGATGGAATTTTGTGCAGGAGGGCAACCTTACTTACCCAGACACGGATAGATTGGTACTCTATGAGAAAGCCTTAAATACTTGGGCTAAATGGGTAGAAACTGATGTAGATCCCACAAAAACCATGCTCTTCTTTCAAGGAGTTTCACCAGATCATACGAAGTAAGTTTAAAGTTAAATTTACAAATTTGATTCAATTTTTCATTTTAGAACATCTGATTATTTTGATTTAAAAAATAAATAAATAAACCCAACCAACTGAATGCTTCCTTTCACATTTAAGGGTGTCAAAATATGTCATGACACGAGAATACGATTTGCCTAATATAAAAACTAAACAAAAGTTAGAGTCAAGTCTAAATAGATTCATGTCATAAATAGGTGACTGTAAACAAAAGTTAGAGTCAAGTCTAAATAGATTCATGTCATAAATAGGTGACTGTAAACAAAAGTTAGAGTCAAGTCTAAATAGATTCATGTCATAAATAGGTGACTGTAAACAAAAGTTAGAGTCAAGTCTAAATAGATTCATGTCATAAATAGGTGACTGTAAACAAAAGTTAGAGTCAAGTCTAAATAGATTCATGTCATAAATAGGTGACTGTAAACAAAAGTTAGAGTCAAGTCTAAATAGATTCATGTCATAAATAGGTGACCGTGTTTCTAATACGTATATAACACATTTAATTAAATTTAGTTGAGTTTTTTTACTCATAGATTTAATTAAACGGATTACACATATAGTCTTCGTATTACTTGTTTAATATTCGCGTGACGCTCATATTTAAATGTCCAACAAGATTATTAAACAGTTCGTGTTCATATTGACCCTAATTGTATTGCTGATAAGTGGCTCGTATCGAACCCAACATGCAGAACCATTTTGACACCCTATTTACATCTTTAATTCTTCTTTATCCTTTGCAAATAGCTTAATTTTTTTTTCTTAATTATTAATAATATATTTAAACCCAAAGAAAGCTTTTAATTAAATTTTAATACTTAAATAACATGTAATTTTTTTGTTTTTCTATTTTTAAACAAAAAGTGGAACAGAATGGGGGGAGCCCAAAGCAAATGCCTGTGAAGGTCAAAAGCAACCATTCTATGGGTCAAACTATCCAGCAGGTCCACATCCAGCAGAGCTAGTACTGGAGAAAATATTGAAAGGAACGTTAAAACCAGTCCAATTGTTGAATATCACAAGCCTTTCGCAGCTGAGGAAAGATGGGCACCCTGCGGTTTATGGTCATGGAGGCCATAATGATATGGACTGCACCCATTGGTGTCTAGCTGGTGTTCCTGATACTTGGAATCAGCTTCTATACGCAGCTCTTCTTCCAATTAGTTATAACTAGTTTATTTTTCATTATTATTATTATTATTATTATTATTATACTTGAATAAATTGAAGGAGAAGATAAGAACAATGTTTATATATGTACAAAAATACACAAATATAGATATAGAAATGTATTAAATGATATAAATTAATGATTTAATACACAATCATAGCCATGATTTAAGACTTTAACTCAAGTAATCATATATTTACACAATTCTTATTCAAAGTTATAATTAGTCCATATTTATTTTTTATTTTTTTTGCCTCCATTAGTTTATTATTTTAAAAATAATAACATTATAGTAGTTCAAATTTGGAATTGTGATATAAGGAATTTATTATTATTATTTAAATAAATCAATCATTATCTTAAGTTCATTTTGTTTTATGTAACATGTTTTAACAATAACATTCGAAATAAGGGATATTCTATCATGACTTGAATTAATTATATGGTTTAATTTCTTATCTGTTTGAGGATGGTGTCGAGACTCATTAATGTTTTTGATGATTTTGTTTAAACTTTAACACGATCGCTAGATAAGAATAGTTCAGTGTTATTGTTTTTTAAATATTTAGACTTTGATTAGGATACAACTAAGGTTAATTGTCACAAACAAAAGCCACGCGCCTGAACACAACTTAATCTCCCATGAAGAGCAACATGATATAAACATCAAAATCATTCTAAATAATGAGCTCAATAACTTTAAATTTTGATTCGTATGTAATGCCTATTGTATTGTTAGTCACTTCCCAATTGCAAAAAATAAAATAAAATAAAAAATCTGTACTCAGTTCCTTTTCAACCCCAAGCCTTTAAATGTCAGTTTCCTTTCGGAGCTGCCGATAGGGGTAGTCACGGTTTCAAGCCGAGTCGAAAACTGACGGTTTCAATTTCGATTTGAAACCAATCGGTTACGGTTCATTAACGATTTCAAAATCAACAATTTTGGACAATTCTTCTTCCGGTTTTTCAGATAGTTTGCATATTTTTAAAATAAAAAAATTAGGAAACATTTTTTTGTAAAATTTAAAATTTAAATGTTTGTGAAATAATTTTTAAAAAGAACTTTAAGAAAAAATTAAAAAAAGTTCTTGAACTTATTTTTTTTTTTTCAAAAATTAAATTGCCCGTCTAATCTCTTGGGGTTATAGGAATCAAAGCACGTAGTTCCAACTTATCTTGTATTAATTTCTCCCCTTTTACCTCATTTAGTCTTTTTTTTTTGTACCGGTAGATATTTCCATTGAGAGCCCATCGAAAAGATCATATAAATTTTTATTTTCTTCTTTGGTTTTTTCTTATGCCCTTAATTCAACCATGGTCAATCATCCAAGTATGATTGTGCTTTTATTGATTCAGGCGCCATTTTAGATCATATTTCATCTAGTATGTCTTCCCACACTAAAAGCTTGTTCAATTGTAATAGTCAAGACTGGTGCTGTTAAAATTTGTTTTGCTATTAGTGCAACATATTAGCCTGACGACTCCACCAATCTAGAATTAAAAATTATTATCAGCAAAACTATCACCAAACTCGAAAACATTGTTAAGATAATTGTGAAGTTTCAAAGTAGAACCGGAAGCGGATCTCCTAGGTCTTTTTTTGTCTTTGTAATAATAGACGTTTAGCAACACTTACCCTTTCAGTTGCCTATAATTAATTATGAACTTGAGAAAAATCAGAAAAAGTAGATGAACCAAAATATTAAACAAATTTAGTTATATAAATCTACAATATTTTTTCTAACTTCATTTAATATTTCATTTACATTAACATGATCTTCTGCATCAAGATTTGACATTTTATAATAAAGAGTCAAATAATCACAGAATATGTCAAATTTATATCTAGAATCAAATGCACAAGCAATAAAGAAAAGGATGGAATATTTTCAAAATAATATAACCATTTCTTTTTCATTAAAAAAATAGTTTTTAATAATTCATCATTTTCAAATTCCTAAAATGTATCGATAATATTAATGCATATAGGCAAAAATAAATGAGATGTGAGATAATAAATCCACTAAAAGTATATGTAACATCATTAAAAATGTTTAAAATATTCTAAAATTTTGTACAAATTTCCTAATTTTGTGAATATCAATTAACTTATGTCACAATTATTTAATAAAAAAATATGCACAATAATTTTCTATATCCAAAAGATTCATTTTATAATTTATATATTGAATTTCATCGAGTTTGACATCCCTTGAAAAATGTCTTGGCTGTCAAACAAATTGTATACCTTGATTATGCTCTTATTAGGAGTTGTTTTCATCATTAAATTCGAATTCTTGAGTTGAAATATCCATATTTTCATTTAGATATCCATCAAAATTGAATTAGTTAGGAGTGAAGTTAAACATGTTATTCATATGCATAGATGAGATTGGATTTCGTGTTTCTCGAACATTTTCCTTACCCTATGCAGAACTTGAATTTCTTTGACTACTACTATAAAATTAGTAGTGATTTTGCGCTTCACGCATGGATATTTATATATTACTTGATAATTATTATCACTAAATCATTTTGGTAAGTTTTTATTTGCAATTTTGTATTGAAATTTTTTTTTATCAATAACAATAAATAACCTCCATATTTAGTCATAAATGGATAAGGATTTGAAATTTTAAAAAATTATTAATTTAATTTTTTGATCCAAATTTAACTTAGTAGAAATGATTGATACTTTTTTTTTTCATAATAATTTAGATAGATTATAAATTTTAATTTTAATATAGAAATGATTGATAACTTTTTTCATAAATAATTTAGATTAGATATAAAATTTAATTTTAATATTATATATATATATATATATATATATTATATATATATTTATAATCCTGAAGAAAAAAAAAATCTCCAAAGAGCTTACTTGACACTCTCTCTATAAACATCATTTCTATTTTTCTTTTTTTATAAATTTTAATTTTTTATTTAATTTTTATTCATTTCTTTTTCCATATTTAATCTAATATATACAACAATATCTAAAATTTTAAATAATTAATACTTTAAATTTTTTAATTTTGAAATTAAAACTTTCAAAACTTTTAAAATTTTTTTCTTATTTATGTCTATCTACATGTACTTATACCTATCTCTATATACCTCAATTCTAATGATTTTCTTTCAGAGCGGTTGTCTTCTTTTTTTCTCTTTTGTTACTTTTTAATTCTTTAAGTTTTAATTATTACTTTCTTTATTTATTTCTTTATATATGTGTATGTCCAATTTAGATATAAAATTGCCTTCTTCTTCAATTGAGGTAATGTTAACCCTTTAATCTCTTTTTTGCTCTTTTTTTTTTTTCTTTTTCAAAATTTTTAACTTTTTTGTGAAATCTTTTGTGTGTGTGTTTTTTTTTTTTTTTCTTTGTACATCCTGTGACTTTTCTCCTCATTAATTTTATTTCTTTAATAATATTTTCTTTATTATGTTACCAATTATTTGTGTCGTGTGTATCATATTAATGGAGATGAAGATGAAAGAAAAGCTAACTATAAATCCATTTATGTATTTTAAAAAAATTTTTTTTAGAAAATTGTATAAAACTATAAATTGTAAATTTTTTCATTCATTGCTTCATATTCATATATGTTTGTGTAAAATTTTAATTATTTATAATTATTTGGATTCATGTATTATTATTATTATGATAATATCTATCTATATAATATATTATATATATATTATTATATATATACTATATTATATATTATTCTCCAATTATTTAGTTAATATTGCATGCAATTCTAGTTATTTCATATTAATTTGGTTTTGATTTGAATTTGAAACTAAAATTGAGCTAATAAAATTGGAAAGAGAAATATAAGTATAATCTATATTATTTTATTTGTTTATTATTATTTATTATTATTTGTTTCATTTACATCAAAGAGTAAATCTCTCTCTTACTATTTGAAGTTATATTATTTCAGCAAAGTTGAATATTTACATCATTGATTTTAAAACGGAAAAAATGAAAGAAATATTAAATTTCATAATATGTTAAAAATAACAGAGGTATCTTATTAATTAAAAAATTAAATATATTTAATTAAATTTAAAAAGGAATTGCAGGATACCTTATTTCATATTATATTTTAAAAATTAATATTCATTTACAATAAGTATCTACATCTATATTTCAATTTGAATTTGAATTTTTTCATTTATATTTTTAAGATATTTTGTTAGTTTTAAAAAAACTATTAGGTTTGAAATTAATTAACAATATTTATATTATATATTGGATATTGAATTTCTTTTAGTTATAGATTAGATGGTTTAATTTTTTGTGTTCATTTATTTAATTAATAATTATCTATTGTTTACATCTCTATATCTTAGTTATTGTCTTTATAGAGAATTTTTGTATGTCTTTGAAATTTTAATTTTGCCAAAAAAATTTAACTAATACTTATTGTCTGGACTTTTGTATTGTATGCATTTACTTTTTTTTATTTGCTTTTTTCATCTTTCTATTGAAGTTGTAGGAATTTTTCATAAATATTTATTTTTATATGAAACAATAAAAAAAAAAAAAACTCTAATGCAATATATAATAATAAAAATAATAAGGAACAACCCGCGCAATGCGTGGGCTTCCTCCTAGTATATATATAATCCTGAAGCAAAAAAACTATTTTAAAATTATCTTGATGTAGAAGCTCTCATTTTTTTAGCATTTCTATTTTTCCTTTTTTTTAGAAATTTGATTTTTTTTCTTATTTTTCTGTTTTAATTTTAACATATATTTTTTTTAGAGAAAATACTATTTCTCTAAATGGATTTGTTTATCAACTTTGAAAAAAAATTTTTTTTTTGAATTACTTTATTATCTATTTAAAATACCTATATATCCCATATTGATATCTTCTATAAGTAATTTGAAAGCCAGCACTAATATCGTCTCTATTCTCTGATTCATTCTACTAAAACACCTCACTTTCTAGGCTTGATTTAGAGTTTTTCTATTCCTTTGGCAGTAATAGAGGCTAATTTTGGTGTTACTATTATGAAAATCTTAAAGCTTTCATCTTGAACGCAATAAACTTTTATTCAAAAATTTTGTTTGAGTTTTTCTATTTTTGGATGAGGCCAAACAGGAGGGGGACTAATTTCACATTTTGTGATGATAATTTCAGGTTAAGGAGTAAAAACAAAAAAGTTCAACTTTGAGAAGAGCTCAA